GAGCAAGAATGAGATTTGTAATCAAGGGATAAAGGTTAACGCTGGATCACCACTCACTCAGGGCCACACTGCAGCTCTTAAAATTTGTTACAAGTAGTTTTTAAGCAGTTCATTAAAGCATCCCCTCTACAGCTAAGTCACCTCCCTTCTTCCTTGAAAGTTACAGTACTTTGGCAATATCAGCTAGGGGGGAATTTTTCACTTGATGGTAACAAATATTCCAGCTTCATCTCAATATATACAAGAGCACAGAATCAAGCTTTGATTTCTCTTCCTGTTAGAATTTCACACCTTTAGAGCCTGTGACCAGTCATGTTGAGAAGTGTTTACTATGAAATATACCAGCATTAAAAGGGACAGATTTGAGGGAAAACAAGTGGAACAGGATTCAGTAACAGATTATGTTCTTGCAACGTCGGGTTACTTACACTTGAAACTCTGCCAAAATTCGAGCAAATCCTATTTATCATTGCAAAATCTTTGCCAAAGCGCACCCAAGGGCAAAAGTCTCTCAAACAAACACACATAGATTAAAAGCTGCCAGAAAGATCATTGAGTGGGCTGGCTGCCTTCTACTTCTTGTACATTGGCAACTTATTAGATCAAAGACAGAACCAAGTGCAGCCTTTTTCAGGTGCAGGATATTCCTACAGTGGTTTACCTGACCAAGTTTTCAACAACTAATAATGCCCCACAGTGAGGTAATTTTACAGCTTACCCCATCATCAGCACTGATGTACTAATTGAGACATGACTTTACAGAACACAAGCAGCTTGGGAAGCCAGCCTACCATTGTGGAGTAAGATAACCAAACGTAACTTGAGAGTATGGACTGGGGTGGTTTTTTTAACCCCCAACAGGCTAAAACATCTCCAACTTGATTTTAGAAGCAGGTTAACTTATGTGGAAAAACAGAAACATCACAAATTTTCCATTCAGGAAACAAATCCTGGACATAGTTCTGTTGTGAATTTCTCACACAGTGTTTTGAATGACAAAAAGTGGTAGGAGTTGCATGAAAAAAAACCCATTTGGCTGGATTGTAAGAAACCTGTAACAAACCTTCTCTTACAGTTACAACCTCTTACATCACTTTTACTGATGCCAATGGAAAGCCTATTCATATGGGAATATGGCCTAACATATATCTTATCTTCAGCTAGGCAGAGAAGAAATTGATACTAAAATGACTTTCAAGCTTGGAAGAGTAGAAAGTATATCATCAAATATAGCACTCATTAAAAAAAAAAAAAAAAAGAAATATTCCTCTGCTGGCAAAGGTGAGCTGGAAGATCTCATAATAGCACTTCTGCACTCCCAGGCGTGTGACAGTCTCTCAGCAGGAAACTCCCAACTGCACAGCAGAATTAGTACCAAATTTGCATACAAATACTCTTTCAATACAGGAATGTGGCTAAAAGCCACAGAAACTCAGAGAGATCACTGTCTGTATCAAAACCGGTATGTTTTGCCCCCATTTACAAAGAGAGAATAGTAATATTCAAGTGCCAAGTTCCTTGCTCTTGGTGGAACACTGAAGAAAACGGAGCAATTTTCTAAAGCCCTCACATAGAAAAGGCAGCGCACTCAAAGTGTTCTTAAGCACATCTCACGTATTAGACATATCCCTCCAATCAAACACCAAAACACCAAAGATCCACATTTCTGAATAAAAACTATCTTTCCCGTATTTGCTGAGATTTCAGTCTCCTGAGAGTCTGTTTTACCAGCTCTCCAGCCTTTCAGCAAGGCTTAATTAAAAACCCAGTGCTCCTAAAATTAAGAAGTAGGATAAATGTATAAATCTTGAGATTCAGTCATAAACTCCCTTTAGAAGATAAGGGGGGAAGCAGGGAAAAACCCAAGGTCACAAGTATCCACCCATATTTTTGTACCTCGCCTACATGTTTTCCATTCCAAAATACTCCAATACACTTACCCTTGATTACGACAGCTAACCTGACTACAGATAAGACCATCTGGTTTTGGCTTTATCCCTCCCAAAAATAAAATACTGATAAATTGTGATGTGCTTCATATTTTTGCTTTTACATCCCACTCAACTCATTGCTGAATGTATACACTGAAAGAAAATGAGCTACCTCCTTCCAAAGGGAAGCATTATTACAGATATACTGACTTTTTAAGAGCCAGGACATAGGGTGTCCTGTGCTGACAGCAGTCTTGACTCCCTTGTTATTGTACAGGGTATGCTTATATACAATCCAACTCACAGCCACCTCCACTATGAACTTCAAAACACGAGTTGCTACTGAAGAGACATGGGTATGTTACAAGTTCAGAAAAATCACACATTTCAAGACAGTGTCAAATCTACTCTTCCCCTGCTGGCAAGCAGCATGTTTATGGCAGACCTGAGTATGGGAATTATTTCACACCTTTACATACTTAGGGAAGATACAGGCCAGATGAGAGAAAATACTCTGAAACAGCACAGAATTGGCAATCTCAAGATATTTACAGGCAAAGAAGCATACAGATCGCACTGAAATTGAAGTTATTGCTTCGTGTGGACAAGTGTGGTGTTCCTTGTTTGAGACACAGGATTTGTTTGGTGTTTATTTTTCCCTTCTGAAGCACAATGAGTTGACACCCATGTGAGGACGTTTTCAAAATGAAGGTGTTGTCTGTGACTAGAGCTGTGCCTACAGCATGGTCATCAGCAGCTGATGGTGACAGAAAACTTACCTAGGTGAGTTTCCACAGGTGCTTTCAAACCCAAGCATCTCTCTCATGCTTCCAGGGTCATTCCAGGCTTGGTCTATGTTACAAGTTTTGATACAAGAAAACCTCCCATAGTCTTTCAGAAGAGATTTATGAATACCAAGAACATCAAACTAAGGCTGACCTTGTATCAGTTCCTCAAATAATCCAAGGAATTGCTGCTCTACTGTATTGATGGAAGCAGCAATGGACTCTTGCCTGCAAAAGCATCACCAGTGCAATGGCTAGTGATCTGCTTTTCCAACATGGGACAATAAACATGTTCCTAAACACGGGACAATAGTCCTAACTGCTGGGTCTTTAAATCAGCTACTTCCATCTGAATATGGAACATGAAGGTTTTTGAGGAAACAGTAAGTGAACTAGAAGTACGAACTACCAAAACTGAACTCAAGTTGTAAACAAATTTATGTTTGTTGTATTTACCTACTTAACCCTCAAGCCAAAGACTATATATGACCTCAGAGCACAGAACATCAAAATACTGACTTACTCCCTTTACATGACTACAGGTGAGTTTACGTAGGCATGAAGCCAACAGTAAACATTAAATCAATGCAAATGGAAAAGTTTCATTTTCAGAAGATATCAGGAGTTTAAAACATTGGGAAAATGGGCCTGCAGGCAACACCACTATTCGAGTATTACAGGGGCTGTAATTCCTCATCCCCTCCCTCCCTCCCCTAAGATAATACAAGGCAACACAAATATTCTCATTGAAAAAGGACTCTGTACAGGGGATGACTGTACATTTGATGTGACTACAGAATCAAACATGTGACAAAGTGATTCTGCTCCCACTGAAAAAGAGAACTCAACAGGGCCCCATAGCTTACAGGTTCAGCTGAAACCAGTGATGCAAGCTCAAAAGTGTAGAAACTGCACTGGCAATTACAACAATTATCTAGTCTGGACTCCTTTAGATTTGCAGCGTAACAAAGGCATTTGACAGAGCAACATTCAGGAGAAAATGTTACCCAGGGAAGAACTGCTCTTCAAGCCAGATGGGAAAGTTTAGGAACATACACTGCACTTGTTCTCCAAATAGCAGCAGTTGCTCCTGTTCTTTGCCCTTTTTGATATAAATCACAGCAGCAACAGAGATAAATGTGTACTTTAACAAAAACAACCCCCCCCCGAAAAAAAACCCCACCAAAAAATCCCCCCAAAAAACCCACAAAAAACCACCAAGCAGAATTATTTATGTACAAGAAAAATGTCTGAAGTGTTGTGCAACTTAACTATTGAAACTCACTAAGAATACTGTAGCTAATAAATATTCATGAACTCTTCCCTGTGTTGTAAAATTCAGAAACTACTACGATTAATTCTTGATATAAAAAGTATGCTTCTAAACCCTGATATCAGTTCCAGTTTAATGTCTTTTTTAAAAAAATTATTTCTTTTAACTGCAATACTTTGAGGGAACTAATACAGATCCACAGTTTTACTCGGTGTACCCACCCAGAGACATCCTGTGTTCTGTGGAGCTCTGGTATACCAATATAATACAGTAAAATAATAATAAATTAATCAAATGCAGATGCATTAAAAAAAACCCCAAGAAATAATAATAAAAAAAAAAAACAAACCCCAACAAACTGAACAAAAACCTACACTATCAAATGCTGATCTCCACATGAAGACACCAAGGGTTTAGACACAAAGTACTACAGATCCTGCCACCAAAAAAACATTCAAACAAGGAAACATGAACTTGCGCATGTTTGAAAAATAAACACAAATCCCACCTCGATGTTATCTCGCCCATGCCTATAACAACCTCACTGTGCCCACATTTGCAGTTATTCATTTACACCTCAGGAGGCAGCCTGGAGATGAGAGAGTAGTAGAATAAAATAATTACCTGAAACATCTTTAAAAAAATACCCGTTAAACAAATTACTTTAACTGGCAGCACTTAAAATTGGTAATTCTTTTCTTTTTCCTGTTTTAAAAAAAGTTGCATAGCTGTAAGATTTTGCTTTGCTGCATTTCTTTCTGTTGTTTCGACTCATAAGCAGTAAAAGAGACATTTTAGTTACTTAAATAGCAATACAATGTGCAGATTTCAACAATCTCTATAGCTTGATCAGTATAAATTAGTTACCTGTCTTGGTTTTACTCTTTGGACTGCATTGTGACAAAGGTTTAGTTACAAAACTTTGGAATATAGTATTCCTATGCAGAGCGGTTTATGTTTTCTGTTCTTGAAAAAAGTGAAGAACATAAAACAGGGTGTGAATTCAGTAAATTAAGGTCACACTGTTAGATTTTATTTATTTTGCCATTTACTGTTCTTCAGCCAAGGAGAAGGTAAAAATGTTCCCACTCGAATTTGGGGCCGTCCCCCTGCAAGGGTCTCAGATAGCACGTATCGAACGTCTCCGCTTCCACTGGAGGCAGTAGGAAACATGTCCAATAACTCGCTTCTTCACAGAACCAGAAGTTAGGCTGAAATTAGGAACTTTGGCCTTCGATACAAAATAGTGTCAGCAATGTCTCTGGGGAGTAGATTGTTACAGGATGTGCAGCATTTTCAAAATCCCTGTGTGTCCTTTGCATGAGTGTTTGGTATACCGAGCACTACTGGCAAGTAACAGTGTCTGCAATGCTTTGTCCGTGTCACTGTCCATCTTTGCCTTTTTCAGCCACAAAGAACTAAGTCTCAAGCCAGGCACGCTGTGTTCAGCAAGGGAACCTCACATCTCCAATGTTTTCTGATCAGTGGAAGCAGCTGTTGGAAAAGCAGATCACAAAATACCATTATTTCAGTACAGAAACCACTCTAACAGCAGGAGCACAACCACTGAGTTTTCCTTTCCCTTTTTTCCTAAGTTATCACCATCCCTGCTGTGGAAAAAGCAAATAGAATTTAACATGAGACTGGACAGCCATGAGCATGTACAGAGACAGAGGTGTTCACAAACAGCATGCAGCCTTCTGTCACAACCAGAGATTGGGGGCAATATAGGAAATGTGTTTGTTTATTAATTTGGCTAACACTGCCCTGAGGTTAAAACAATTATCTCCGTAGCAGGATATCTTCCTTGAGGTTTTCTTTGCTACCCCTAAAACACAGACACATGAAGGAACATGAAACAAATGCACAAATAAATGCTAGTCATGAATACTTCAGATTTTTTTTTTTTAATCTCCCTCAGAACAACAAAAGCAAACTCTCAGCTCCCAGACAGAGTATCAGATATCTCTATTTCTCTAAGAATTATGATGATTGTTGGTGTGCTTTGCAATGCTATGGGGCAATTGTTTAATGCAAGATAAAGTTTCTGAGTTAGTCAACTAAAGAAATAAAACTATCCTTTAAACTTTTTAACACAGACTGCAGACCTACAATCATTAACACAAAACATAAGCTGAAAAATGTGAACTTCTGTGAGATGGAATGGAAATAAACACGTCAACATTTTTTATTTATTTATATGCTTTAAACATTTTGGAAAGCATTAACATTAAAACACTTTTGAAAATACCTAGCTTCAACCTTTTCATACGATTCCAAAAGCCTTCTGTCAGAAATATATGCCAGTAGTAACGGAACAATCCAAAATTACACAATTGTATTATTTTAATTTTGTTTCATTTCTATGGAAAAATACTCTTAGAAAGTTAATGCTAAAGGTTTCTTGACACTGACTTGCCACTTTCCAGTACTAAAACTGGAAAGTCCATGTCATGTAAGGATGTAGAAACCTTTTGCCCATATTGCAATATACATCAATCCTTACTGAATAAAGTTCTGAGACACAGTAGTAAATTCACAATTTAAAAGTACAGTTCTTTCAGATAATCAAGCTATTTATTCTTGGAACATAAATAAACATTACCTAAAAATATGAATCTTGTCTTAATCTGATGGATGCTCAGGGCAAGATCTATTTACTTCAAACCATTCATCTATGCAGCTGTTGGAAACAAGACAAAAAATGAAAAAAATTGACATGAATACCAGTAACATTTAGCAGTAGAATATGAATATAAATTGGTTTCTCAATTTCAATGACAAGTAGAATTTTATATTATACAAAGAAGCATATGCATATACACACCTCACTGGAAAAATTAATAACCCCAAACCATAGTAATATTTGGGTATTAAACACTGTTGAAAACCAAAATTTCTTAAGTGTTAAAATTTTCTAAGGAAGCATTTTACAAATTAGAGATTTTATACACAGGTTAATTCACTACTAGCATGATCATCTTGCACATATCATTCACTGACATTTTACTTTCTGTAAAGTACAGACACTAATGAAAAAAAATAAAAAATAAACAGGTTAAAAAAAACATTCTCCCCTCTCCTTGCCCAACTCCATGGGCATTTGACAAAACCTAAGCCCACATGCCCTAAGCTCCTCAGCCATGATAAACATTCCTTCCCCATCCCTGTGATTTTCCAAGAATGAGAAGCTTGTAGCAGGGAAAATTAACTTCAAATACATTTGGTAGAGATGCAGAAATATGTCATTAAAAAAACATCTTTAAGGTTGCTACTGCTGTTTCTTTGTTCTTTTTAAGTGCAAAAACTAAGTTTAAGCACTTTAAGCACCCCTTAATGCAACTCCACAAATGCAACCTTATGAAATTTTATAAGCATCCTAAGGAATACTTGCCCTTTATGATATATGCAGAGGCAAGGCAGCCGTGCTATAGTATCTCCTTGCTGCAGCTCTTCCAGGCATATTGCACACTCCCCAGCATCTTTACTCAGCACATCCTCTGAGGAAAGAGCACAAAGCAAAACGGTTAAGAATCACACTGCTACAAGCAAAATTTTCTTTATTCAGAACATCAAGGACAGATACAGAAGAAGGTATTTTTTGTCCTGTAGAAAGGTAAGGATCAGTGACATACCAACTGACTGAAGAGTCATGATGAGAACCCATGTTCAGTCTTCAACATGGAGGTTAAGTTCAAGCCTGCACATAACATTTCTCTGACAAGGCACTGTAGGTAAGTAACTAGGTAAAGTTCTTCCTAGCTTCTAAACACTGAGCCTGTCCCTGTAATTTGATTTTTCTACTCTCCTACTCATCTCTCTTCTATACATATGGCTTTATTTGACCAGCCTTGCTGGTAACTCATACTTCACACCTTCAACCTCTTCTCACCACACTAGCATGTTCTATATCCCATTGACCTATTCCTCAGTGTAAAGTATGAAACTGTTAACTGTAGGAATGTGATATTTCCATGAAGGAAAGATCATTGCTGTATGGCTCCAATGACTCCTGGAGACACTGAATTTTTTACAGCATTACCAAGTCCCAGAACAAAGGAGGAAAAAGTAGATTACTAGGAATGCAAAAGAGTTGGCTTTCACTAAGAAGTTTCTGGGAAAGCATATTATTTTTAATAAAAACCTTCTCTCTTGGACATTTCTCTTAGCCAGAATGTGGGATGCAGAATTCAGTCTTAGCACGAAGCAAAACAGAAGATCACATAAGCCCCTGTGTGCCAGCTGCAGATTAGAAGTTTCTGTTAGACACAACCTCACACAGTCCACAGGGCACTCCCAACAAGAGACCATGTAGCAGCCAAACTGACAGATCAGAAAGGTGCATGCTTGGCAAAGTAAAGTCCATGGGTCCAAGTTTCCATGGTTTCATGGGAAAAGCTTCCCCTTCTTTGCCAAAAGGCACCTCAAGTGAGAGAACCTTTTGCAGCTATGACTGAGAAACCAGCAGCTCTATGCTGTTCTCTCCTGTGGCTCCATCACCACTGGCATTCCAAACACAGAGAATGACAGACAACTTAGAAAGGTATCCCGGCAGCAAGAAAGTAAAAGGAAATTAGGTCTACATTGTTTCCATTAAATGACAGCCAGCTGTCTTGCAGGTGCTTGGGTTTCTAAAGTAGTGCTTATTTCAGCCTCCACTATATTAATTTGTTATGCTAAAAATACTGTATAATGCCATGTGTGCAGCACCTTCATGGAGATGTGGAAAATATCTAGTGTGAAGTGAACTATTATAAAGAAAAATATTCAAAACAAAATGATAGACAATATACATCCACCACGAGAAAGAAAATTCTAAAATGTATTTTATGTACAGTAAACTGCTATTCAATCAGAAGCTGTAAGCTTCTCAGAACATTAGAGATACTGAGGAGACAAGGTAATTTAAAACAATACAAAAGATTTTAAAAACTCTTATCTGTCAACTTGCCCAGAAGAGGGTGCTAAGGATAAATACTTCCTTGAGGTTGGATTTTGGTATTTGGCTGTTTGGGGTTTTTTTAATACAAAGGTATTCTAACATCTGACACCAGGAGGCAAATACTCTCCAGATATTGTCTGGCTACAGAGATATCAATATTTGTCTGACACTGTTAGACTCCATCCTCCTAGATCACCTCTTTGCACAGCTTCACAAGAATTCCTGTGAGCAGTTCTCTTCTCACAGTGAGGTTGTAGGAAGCAGAACCATTAATAATTCAAGCATGTATTATACATACAGAACTTAATAAAATAACTTTTTCCATAGAGTCCCTTTATCAGATCCCTTTAGCAGCTGCTACCCAAACCAAAATGGGACTAAGATATCTCTAGTGAATTAAATCCCAGTCTCACTCCCTCAAGCATTCTTGAGAGGGAAGCATTTAGTCAAGCTTTGAAAATAGAAATTAAAAAGATGTCCAATAAAAATATAGTTTATAAAAGAAAGCATTCCTGTGAACAGCTTTCCCATCGTTCTCTATTGTACATGTCTGGCTTATCCTGCACACCCCAGACTGCACAATGCTTGGGTCTCAACTCTCACTGAGCAATTTAACAAGGTTCTGCACCTTTTGGCTGACATTAGGGCATGATGCCAATTTAAACATATGTATCTCCCACCAGCCCTGGTCTAAGTGTCTGACACTCCTTTCATTTTCCCTCCAGTATTCCTGTCCTCTCCCTCCTGCCAGTACTGGCCCTACTGCACAAGTCCCTGGCAAACAGCTTGCTGCCTTCCCTGGCTTCACCCCAGGCTTTCCAGCTGGGATGAGCCACCAGGCACACACTGGGCTTTGCCCAGTCATGCCAGAGGGAGATGATGCAAATGACGGCTGGCACAGACTGGACCTCAGAAATACGGTGCAGTTTTGCCACTCCGGCAGGAGAGGTTATGTTAACAGGTCTCAATGCTCCTCTTCCCCTGGAATAATGAGGAATTAGCATTCCCTGCTTCTGTAAACCTCATGAATCCTGTCTAAGGCTCTTGTGCATAAATACTGGAGGTATGAGTACAAAAATAACCTGCTGTGAATGCCCGTGTGTAACTTGCACATTAACATACTCCAAAACCATATAATTAAGCTCATAATTAATTACACACGTAAAATGATGACAACAAAACCAATCCTTCATGGACTTATGACACCTTAGATCTGACTACCTTTTGACCATTTTACGTGATTTGGATCATCAATATCAGACAAAGAAAAATGATTGAATAATCCTGTTAGACCTGGATCTAGTCAGAATTTGTTCTCTACTTGCTTTATAAAGCACTCTCTTACAACAACACTGACTTGTATCAGATGGAAGTCAGTTTAAGGACCATTTAACAATGACATTTAAACATACCAGTTACAGAAAAATCTGTATATCATTTTGCACAGAACCACTGCAGTCTCAAAAGGTTTTTTGTTTACATCTTTTCCTGCAGCAGAGTGATTCAGCAGATACATTTTATTTTATAATTTTCCCTTAAAAAATCAAACAACAAAACACACAAACCAAAAGAAAGAGTAACGCAGCTTAAAACTTCATCAATGTTGTGACTAAAACATTTATATCAGTGTATTACCTAAATGGAACTGAGAAGAGGAAACAAGCCACATCTTTCCATTTCACCCACATGTGGGTACATACACAAATACCACACCCCCACAATCCACATGCATTGCACCTAATAGGAGGTAAACACTCCTCCACCTTCCCAGCTACTTGAACAAGTATTCACTAGCCAAAGACTAGTGTCAAAGATGAAATCTTGCAAAAGAGCAAGGAGCTTGCAAGAGCTCCTGAGTCTGCTCAAGTACTTCTTCCTCTTCTCCTCTATCCCTGGTTACTACTGTTTTAACTTTGGGTTGTCAGTAATTTTTCTTCCTCAACTTCTGCTTTTGTCTTTACTGGAAAAGAAATTCTGCTCCATTTCTGCATTTATAGCAAAATAGGTAGTAGAGGATTAAAAAGCAGGCATTCCGGCAATTTTACACATACTTTACCAATCAAAACTTTTTCTAGAACTTTTGAAAATACTTCCAAAAATTATGAAAGCTACTAACTCAGCCAAGATGAGGATTATAGGCAATATCTGTGATTAAAATGTCTTTAAACTGAGGACTGCAAAAGCATAGGCACTGCATACCTTCTAGATAAGGTAATTAAAATCTGTGCTGGTGCTTTTTGTTTTTCCTTTTAAAACACAGGCAGATACAGCCCTAGGCTCATGAAACCTGAAGTCACAAATCATAGAAATGTCAATTTATTTTGGGAGCTATCACTTTATAACTGCAGTGTTTTACTTCTCTCTGGGCATTCACGGGAGACAGAACACCAGGTTAGAAACACCTTGACCCGATTCTGTATGACAGCTTTTCAAAATGTCTGTATTTTTTCTAAAATTTAAAACCTTAAATGTCCATGGAAGCTGCCATCACAACTAGCTTATTAGTGAAGGACACCACAAAGGTCAACCCTTTCAGGAATACAACTGAAACTTAATTGAAACAGCTTTTGAACAGTATTGGTACTAAAACTGATAAAATAACAGCCATTAAAAAAATATTGATGAAACTTCATAATAGTATGTATTATCTATATGTTACACATTCATTCAACTTTGACGCTGATGACAAAAAACTGTCTTAGTACTAGAGACTGTCTCCGCTTGTTTTTAAATGGAGTATGTAGAGCTCTAGACATCCAGAAACCAGTATATTTGTTTACATGTAGAACATGAATTCATCCATATGGCAGAATTTATTCTACATTTTTATTGCTATCACCTTTGCTGATATCACAGGGAGTCAAGGAGGTTTTCACAGGTACCTTACTATTCGGCAGCCAGGAAGCACGTGTGTATGTGATTACACACTTATTAAATGTTACTGATTTGATTTACTAAATCTTTTTTACTCCTGTCACATCTGTTTTTCTCCCTCTCCATTTTTTTCTGGCTGTTTCTTGCTACACTTTCCTCCTCTTCACATTCATTTTCCCTAAAATGTATTCTCTCTAGACCTGTATTTTCTACCACTCCTCCTGCCCTCCATCATCTCACTTAATTTTCTGCTGCAAAGCAGGCACTGGAGGAAGAGAAATATTTTTAAATATTTTTTAATTAAAAAAATATTTTTTAATTATATGGGGTTAATGTCTTTGGGAAAAGTAGACACTAGAATGGAAGGAAAACCATTAGGCACAGGATATGCTTCTCTCATATAGCTCAGTGATTATCTTTGCAAACTGGCATTGAGCACAAGCAAAACTTGTCTTTCCCAGTCCATCCTAAGCACTAGGAGAGCCAGCAGTTTCTTCGACATTCCAGGTGTTTTTCAGTGTTCTGGCTGCCACAAGAGGAATACTCTTGATTCTCTAAGGATCATTCTTGGATGACCAGGTCAGAATTTGAGGCAGAAAGATGCTCTGAAGGAGAGATGATTTTTAAGTGCCCAGAACTCTCAACAGAAGGAGGAACATCATTCAGTTGTCATTGCAGATGCTA